ACATAGTGAGTTCCAGGCCAGCTGGGGCTAGGGCTGCAGGAAGACCCTGTCTCAAAAAGATGAAAAAAAATTTTTTTCGGGTCTTTTTGAGACAAGGTCTCCCTGTAGCCCCAGCTGTCCTGGAACTCACAGAGATCCACCTGTCTCTGCCTCCTCAGAGATCCGCCTGCCTCTGCCTCCCAAGTGCCCGGATTAAAGGTGTGCGCTACCATGCCTGGCAGTATTTTTTTATTTGTTATTTTTATTTTATGTGTATGCATGTATTGCTTGCATGTAGGTAAGTGCACCTGTATTGTGCAATGCCCGTGGAGGTCAGAAGAGGCTGTCGGATCCCCTGGGACCAGAGTTATGGACAGTTGTTAGCTGCCATGTGGGTGCTGGGATTCGAACCTGGGTCTTCTGCAAGAACAACCAGTGTTCTTAACCACTGTGCCATCTCTCCAGGCCCCGGAAAAAAATTTTTTAATTTATTTAGGAGCCAGGCGTGGTGGCACATACCTTTAATCCCAGCACTTGGTAGTCAGAGGCAGGTGGATCTTTGTGAGTTCAAGGCCAACCTGGTCTACATAGTGAGTTGCAGGACAGCTGGGGCTATAGGGAGACCCTGTCTCAAAAAGAGCCCCCCAAACAATTTTTTTTATTTAGGTATGTAGGTGATCTCAGGACTCAAGAGGTAAAGGCAGAAGGATCAGGAGTTCAAGGGTCATCTTCAGCTACAAAGCGCGTTTGAAGCCAGCCTAGGCTACATGAGATCATGTCTTTTTTTTTTTTTTTTTGGTCTTTTTTGTAGCCCCATCTGGCCTAGAAGTCACTATGTAGACCAGGCTGGCCTCAAACTGACAGAAAACCACCTGCCTCTGCCTCTGGAGTGCTAGGACTAAAGGCGTTCCTCACCACGCCCAGCAAGACCACATCTTAAAAACAAACAACGAAAAAGAACTTTGAGAACTTTGAAACTGGATATGGAGGCACACTTTAATCCTAGCACTTTTCCAAGGCTGAGGCAGGGATTTCCCAGTGTTCGAGGCCAGCCTGGTCTGTACAGTGAGCTCCAGGCTAACCAAGGGCTACACAGTGAAACTCTGTTTCAAAAAACCAAACCAAACCAAACCAAGTCAAACCCTGTATACCAGAACTGATCGGAGCCCAGCACTGATCTCCATGTCCAGGTTACTGGTCACATCCGAACTCATCACAGAGCCCAGGTTCCTTCACTCACTCCAGCAAAGACCCTGGTATGGGACTGTGCTGGGTCTTCATTTCCTCCCTTCTGGGCTGTTCCTTCCCTGGGAGACATAAGCAATGTCTTACCCTGTTCTCCTAAGGTCCCAACAATAAACTAAATAGGAATCCCCAAAGGATTCATCCTGGGGAACAGTGAGTTTACTGGGCTCACTCACAGAACATGGGTGAGGGGTTACTGGCAGGACTGCGGGTGATCCCAAAGCAGTTGTACTGGAAGTCTCACCCCAGCATGGATGACACTTTTCCACAGCCACAAAGATGGAGCCCCTCTTCAGTTAACCTCCCCCAACCTATGTGCTTTAGCATCTCCCAAGACACCTAGGCAAAGCAATCAGAGCAGTGAGTAAACTGGCTCTGAGGAGGAAGGTCAACTCAACAAGCCGATAGTGAAGGACTCCTCAAACAGGTACAGGTGATCTGAAGCAGGCAGCTATGTGTTTGGCTCTGACACAGGCCCATTTCATCAGGCCAAACAAGGGAGTCTGGGTGCACCTGGACCACTGGGCACATCTGCTCAGCCTCAGGAACCCTGAGCCACCACCCCTTAACCCAGCTCTCCCCTGCCAGCATGGGACCTTCCTCTGAACTGTCCCCCAGAAGAGGAAGTGAGAGAGAGAGGTAGAAGCTCCAAATAGCAAGCTGTTCACGGTTCCTTCCTGTGCGGAAGGCAGCACCAGGTGTGGGCACAGCTCCTCCCTCCTGGCCAGTCTCAGCTCTCCTCCTGTGCCCCCCAACAACCAGCAGCCCTCCTCCCGTGCCCCCTCCCAACAACCAGCAGCCTCTCCCCTTCCCTAAGAACATTCTGCGTCTGTCCCACCACTGAAGGACCGGTCCCTGGACTGGGAGCTGTCTGGTTTTTTAGAAGGAGTCTTGCTATAGTCCTGGCTGATCTGGAATTTTCTTTGTTTAAAAAAATATTTTATTTATTATTTTATATGTATGAGTGTATTGCCTGCATGTATGTGAGTGTACCGGTGTGCAATGCCTTGGAGGTCAGAAGAGCGCTTCAGATTCCCCTGGAACTGGGATAAGGACGGTTTGTAGCCGCCATGTAGGTGCTGGGAATCGAACCCAGGTCCTCTGCAAGAGCAGCCAGTGCTTTTAACTGGTGAGCCGTCTCTCCGGTCCCTACTGCTCCATTTAAAAATCAAAAGTAGGAGCTGGCTCTGGCTCAGTGGGCAGTGAGCACTTGCCTACCATTCAGGAGGCACTGGGTTTGATTCCCCAGCATTGCATAAGCCCCCTATCGTGGCCCATCTCTGGGTGGCTGTGGATAGTCACCACTGTGGAAACATAACCTCTCTGCCCCCATGAAAGGATGCTGCAGGGAAGCCACATTTTCAAATACTGGCTCCACACTGAAATCCTTTGAAAACATTACTATTGGGCCAGCAACACCAGTGGGTAAAGGCATTTGCCATGAAAACTGGGCAATCTCGGATCCCACATAGGGGTAGAGTGACAGAACGGACTCCCTCAAGTTGTCTTCTGACCCCTACATAAACACTGTGGCACACTTGCCCCCCCATCACACAATAATAACAAAATTTAAAGAAAACATTATTTTCAATAGGGTGAAATTCATTTCGCTTTCTTCATTTTTCTTTCATGTGGCTCCTTTCATGTGGCTACTTAAAATTACAAAGGTGGACCAGGTGTGGTGGCGTTTGCCTGCAACCCCAGCACTTAAGAGGCCGAAGCAGGAAGACTGCCAAGAGGTTAAGGCCAGCGTGGGTTAGAGTGAGACCCAGTCTCAAAAAAACTAACAAAAAAACAGCAGTGTGGTAGCAGAGGCAGGCAGATCTCTGTGAGTCTGAGGACAGCCAGGGGGTTACAGGGAGACCCTGTCTCACAAAATAAAACAAAACCCCAAACCCCCAAAACAAAACAAAAAATAGGTGAAAACAGATGAGAGGATCAGAAGTTCAAGGTCACCCTCAGCTATATAGCAAATTCAAAATCTGCCAAGGCTACATGAGACTGTGTCTCAAAAATAACAATAAAACTTCAAACAAAATTCCATAGATGGTTCATATTTGTGGCTCAAATTCTATTTCTTTCCTTTTTTTTTTTTCAGCCTTTTTGAGGCAGGGTCTCTCTGTAGCCCCAGCTGGCCTGAACTTGCTATGTTGTAGATCAGGCTAGCCTTGAACTCACATTCACCTGCCTCTGTCTCCCAAGTGCTGGGACCAAAGGCATGTGCTACCACGCCCGGCTCAAATTATATTTCTTATGGTGTTGGAGATAGAAATTGGAATCCAGGCCCTGGAGTTTACTTGGTAGGTGCTCTACCACCGAGCTGAGCTCTCAGGGCTTCAAGTGAATTGCCATTTTTCCTGGACACTGTGTGTGTGTGTGTGTGTGTGTGTGTGTGTATTTTGCCTGCATATATATGCAGATCTAGTGTCCACAGAGGCAAAAGTGGAGGTTGGATTCCCTGGTGCTGAGTTACAGGTGGTTGTGAGCCACCATGTGGGTACTGGGAACCAAACTCAGGTCTTCTGCAAAAGTTGTCCAGCCCACCAATGATCTGTGCTTTTTTTTTTCTTTTTTTTGAGACATGGTCTTACTATTGCAGCTCTGACTGGCCTGAACTCACAGAGAGCTTGCTTCTCCGCCTGCCAAGTGCTGGGACTAAAAAAAGGCATAAGCCACACCATGCCCAGATGCCTTTTATTTACTTATTTATTTATTTATTATTTATTTATTTATGTGTGATGGTGTTGGTAATGATAGCCAGGGCCATGTGCACACTACTACACAAGATGGTCCCTGAGCTACATCCCCAGCCTTCATTTTTTGAGACAGACTCTTGCTAGACAACCCAGGCCTGTACCACCACACCTGGTTTATGTGGTGCTGGAGATTTAACTTACTACCAGTACTCTCCCAATTGACCCACATCACCAACCCTCACCCTTTATTTTAAATAATCTTGTACTGCTTTGGGGGTCTGAACAGAGAGTGGGTGGTATTTCTGGGTGAAGAACTTAGGTAACTTTTTCACAGCACCCTCAACAGACCGCCTGCAGCTGGAAGTCTAGTTTTAGATCTACTTTGTATTTATGTTTTTAAAATAGAAAGTGCCGACAAGGACGTGGTATTTTCCTCTTAGCAACAGTAGCCCCGCCTGGGCCTCGGGGCTTCCCGGTGCCCACGAGGCCTCCAGTAGGCGCTCCAGGACCCTGGCCAAGCCCGGAGAGTTGAGGGGGCCCAGATTGCGCAGGGGCTGGACTTGGACAACCCTCTCAGGGCCACGCGTGGCACAGAACAGCTCCAGGTGCACTCAGCCCTGCCCTCAGGGACCAGGTGGATGCTGGTCCCCAGGGACTAGGTGGGATGGGTCCCGAATGTGGAGACATCGGTGGGGATGGGACCGGGGTGGGGATGGAAGAGAGTGTGGATGGGACCCTCGTGGGGATTGAAGAGGATGGAGATGGGACCCGCGTGGGGATGTGTCCTGGTGGGGGGGGGGATGGGACCCAAGAGGAGATGTGTCTCAGGTAGGAATGGGGCACGGATGGGGATGTGTCCTGGGTGGGGATGGGATCCGGGAGGGGCTGAGCCGGGTCGGCTGCAGCAGGGAGCAGGCGGCGCATCACCGTGTGACCCCTGTTCAACCACGGCTGCAGGAAGGTGACACTCGCCACACCCCGCAGGGGGATGCTGCGGGGAAGCAGAAGTCGCGATCCAGGTTCAGGGCCCGGTCCCCCAAGCTGGAGACCGCGTTCCCCGTCCACACCCGGGGCCCTTACCTCTGTTCCCAGCTCGGGGGTCAGGAAGAGCGCGATCTCGCTCGCCCCGCAGCGCACTGGCTCCGGCTGGTCGGCGTCCAGCATCAGGAGGGCGGCGGGTCCGGCGGCTAGAGGATATCCCTCAACTCGGCGCAGCTCCAGCCTGGAGCCCGCCCCCTACGCTGCACGCCCGGAGGTCCGCCTGGCGGAGGCGGGGGAGGTGCGCACCAAGCGGCTGCGGGATCGGTGCGGGCCGGGAGCGCAGCGTCACCCAGTGGCACAAGGAGCGCACTGCAGCCGGCGCCGCGAACCGGGCGAAGTGGTTCGCAGACTCGCGGGGCCCTTCTCGGTCCGAGCATCCTTAGGCCGTGAGTTCTCCACACCGCCACAATTTGACAAGGAGCGCCATTCTTGTAAACTGCATGTCGGAAACCCCACGGGGAGCTTTTTTTTTTTTTTTTTTTTTTTTTTTTTTTTTTTTTTTGGTCTTTTTGAGACAGGGTTTCTCTGTAGCCCCAGCTGGCCTGGAATTC